TTTGAAGTGCATAAAAATGTTGCCGAAATGAGTACCATTGAGTTTTTGTGTGAGTGTAACAAATCTTTATTTATATACACAAGTTAGTTTTTTACGGGTTAATTCAGTTTTTTTTACTTAAGGTCCTTAAATCAATCTTGTTCTAAAATGCAAAAAATTTGAACTGATGAAGTCTGCTTAAACGAGTTTTCTAATCTCTCCATTGCTTTCTTTTTTAAAACAATGAAAAAGGTAATGGTAGCGCGAAATATGCATAAAACCGCGTTGGTCATTCGGATACGGATATCTATTATTAAATAACAATAGTCTTCAACGAAACTACCCTTGGCATTGTGGGGCTCCGGCAGTGATGGTGCCCAGATATTACAAGATGGCTGGTTCAAACCGCACGGGCGCTGTACTGTGCAAAGGGATCTCTTGTTAGTAAGACGTAGATAACACGAGGCGCATTTCGAGGAATATTAAACAAATCAGTTGCAATTTCCTGATTTTTAAGGTCAAAACAAAAGTATTGACAGCCTCAGGAAGTTTAGCGATTAAGACTCTCAGCACAAGGAGAGTATCTTATGCTTCTATAAAAATCTATGATAGTTTGTGTAAACATTCAAAAACGTACGATTATGTTCTACGGGAAGACGGAATTCTAGTAAAAAACTAGTTTGATATCGAGATAGCAAGATCACCATTACTAATCTCACAGCAATGTTAAGCAACACTGCTTATTAAACGCGAAAACTCAAACGACGTTGAAGTTTCACTCATTAACCGGGTTCACAAAAAATGCTTATCGTACAATTTCCGTGTATGGAAAACATGTTTGTCGTACAATTTCGTAGAATTCCATAAAATAAAAAAATTCTACGATATTAGCACGACAAGCGTTGTTTCCATTAACGAAATTGTACAACAACCATTTTTTCCATCAATGAAATTGTACGATAAGCATTTTTTCCATCAATGGGATTGTTCAATAAACATTTTTTCCATCAATGGAATTGTAAGAATAGCTTTTTTTTTCATCAACGGAATTGTATGACTAGCATTTTTTCCATCAATGGATTTGTTTTATTAGCAACTTTGAGGCTCTATTGACACAAAATCAACCCGTACATCGTGTTATCTATAAACAATGGATCACCTGAGAAAACTTTAGAGATTAAAACCTCTTTAACTGCGTTTTCCACAGAATCTCCAGAAGTTCGAGACAGCTGAAAGTTCCTTATTTTAATCCTAATGGAACAAAAAAGTTTACAAGACATTTTTCTTAAATAGAAATTGTTTGATAATCCATTTTTTATGCTTGATTTTTTTTTTCAAAAAAAAGAACTCAAAATATCAAAAGCCTTTTTAAGTTAAAAAACCTGAAACTACTTTTAGTTTTTTTTTTTAAAAAATCGACTTCGATGGAAAAAACAATTATTATTATGAAATGTTCATAAATAAAAACCTTATGGTAAGCATTTTTGCTAAAATTTTGCGCGAAAAAAACTCATTCTTAACACAAACCCTGTTGTTAAGTTTAAAATACCCAAAGAACTATTTCAGGAAAAAAAAAGTTTTTTAAATTTTGTTTCGATGGAAAAAATGCTTATTATAAAATTTTCATACATGAAAATTGTATGATAAGTATTTTTTTGTTAACTTTTTTGAGCGAAAAAAAAAACATTTTTTTTTCTGAGAAAAAAATTCATTCGTAACACGAACGACGTTAATAACTTTAAAATACCCTTAAAAATTTTTTAAGATTAGTTTGAAAGTTTTACTTCGGCAAAAATAATGCTTATTATAATATTATCATAAATGGAAATTGTAGGATGACATTTTTTTTTCTCGATTTTTTTGTGTGAAAAAACTCATTCCCATCAAAAATTGGCGTAATTAAGTTTAAAACACCTTGAAAACATTTTCTAGGCTTTTTTGAAAACTTTAATATTGGTTGAAAAAAAATGCTTATTATAAAATTTTTGTGAATGGAAACTGTACGATAAGCATTTTTTCCATAGACTCCGTGAACGGAATTGTACGATAAGCATTTTCGGTCTATGGAGGTCAACCCGGGTTTTGGAGACGTACCTGTATCTGAGACCGAACTGCGAGAATTATCAAGGTTTCAAAACACTTTCTAACACTTAAAATTGCAAAATGGCCAGTTGGTTTCTCAGACACTGGCCGAGAAACTTAATAACAAAAGCAAATAAGCAACAAGGATAGCCAGTTACTGTGCAATTAGCACTGAATGATCTGATTATATTCTTTCGAAAACTACGGCTTAGAAAGTTTTTTTTCTAAATTCTGCAGTTTTTTCAGCTAGTGATAAAAGGATCTGACGTAAAAATATAACTTATGCATATTAGACAGTCAGATTAATATAGGCAAATCGGACAAAATTTTTGTAGAAAATTGGTTAAAAAAAAAGAAAATATTTCAGAAAAAAAAGAATTTTTTGAAAATTTTGGTTCCCAACATTAATCTAAAAAAACTCCAAAAACTAATTTTACCTGCTTAAAATTAAGTTTTCAGCTCTTAATTTAGGTATAATTCAGCTGTTGTAAGCCTGATAGCTTGCTTTATTGGCTCGAATTAAGACAAAAAACAAACATTTCAACCGGTTTTTTCGACACTGGGAAAATTTTTAGGAATTTTTTTAATGTGGTTCGAATCACGACTGAAAGGGCTTTAATAGGATATATACCCAACCCAGTGCAAAGATTATTTGTGGTACGTGATTTTGCGTGAAGAAAAAACTAAAACACACCCAAAAACAAAATTGCTTCCCATTTTAAATAATCAGAACAAAAAAAGCCGAAACACTAAAATCACAACCCCAGTTTAAAACCTTGAACATCAATTAAAACCGCAGGTCAAATCACATCCACAGAGTTGCTGTAATTTGAACATAGCACTTATTGGCATCATCGCCAGCCTGAAAATACACGAGGAAAGCTGCATCGAAGATGGGAACGATCAGTTTTATAGCTAGTATACGTCAAGGGGAGAAAAAGAGAAGAGAAATTAAATCAGAACAAAATAGTACTCTTTTCACAAAATCTCATTTTATAACCTTAAGAGAACATTTTCGAGTCTACTTAACAATCACTATGAGTCTACTATGATTGTTAAGTAGACTCGAAAATGTTCTCTTAAGGTTATAAAATGAGATTTTGTGAAAAGAGTACTATTTTGTTCTGATTTAATTTCTCTTCTCTTTTTCTCCCCTTGACGTATACTAGCTATAAAACTGATCGTTCCCATCTTCGATGCAGCTTTCCTCGTGTATTTTCAGGCTGGCGATGATGCCAATAAGAACATTTTCGAGTCTACCTATTTTTGAGACCCTCATAAAAGTATAACTGATTATTATTCTTACTTGTGAAACCTGCTTACTCTCATACCATCAAAAAAAAATGTAATTTTTGCAGAGAGGCCTTCGGTATCTTTTTACGACAGAATTCTGGCTGAGTAGCCGTATTAACTTTACATGTTCCAAACGTTCGGACGCTATTTTCCCTTAGGGATTCGACCCCCTGCCGACCCAAAGGGTCCCCCCTTCGGTACTTTTTAAGAAATCTATTTTGGCCGACCGAGCCTAAAATTTTTCTAAAGGCGCCTTTGGCGCCAATATACTAACTTTCAGGGGGAGGGCGCGCCAAAAAAAAAGCAATTTTTTTGTCAAAATTTTCCAAAAAGTGCCCAAAAACGGCGTCTTTTCACTGCTTTAGGAGAGCTCGGAAAATGAATTTTGATAGACCTAAAAAAAGGTAGTCAACGGCGTCTCGAAGCAAATTTTACAAACGCCGTCTCGTAAAATTCTTGAAGAAATTTTTGCCTTAAATTGGTATTTATATATAAGGCAATATATAAATAGTGTTTTGGCAGAGTTCGGACAAAGCTAGTTTGGTGTTTGTACTAAAGTCGTCAAAATATCCGAAAATTTTCTGGAACTTCCGAAAATTCCAGCGCACGCCAAAGTAATGGATAGTTCATTAGACTCATTCTAAGCCTTCATTAAAAAGTCGATGACCTTGTATACTAATCAATTCCTGGTGATCACACCTGCTTAAATCTACTGATTGGTCTCTTCAACGGCAATGAGGTGTCAATTAAAAGATTAAATTCCTGGTGATCACACCTGCTTAAATCTACTGATTGGTCTCTTCAACGGCAATGAGGTGTCAATTAAAAAAAGATTAGGTCAACCAAAGTAATTTTCCGCGCACTGCCAGATCACTCTAATGACCCTATTTTGACCAAAAAAAATATACGATGCAGACAAATTTGAAAAAAAAAACAGGTCAAACCTGGCATTTTGACCAAAAAATTGCGTTTTTCGGCGCGCGCTTCCCTTCAAAATAGTTATCTATTGGCACCCCGCACTGGAGTTCCATGGATAATAATCGATTATATTGTCATTTTATAGTCAGTATCTATAAAATTACAAAAATAATCGATTATAATCCATCAAAATCTGCAACAATTTGCAAAAATAATCGATCATAATGACATTATTTCAGACAACAATTTTCATTATAATCGATTATAATCTATAGCACTCCGTTGCGGGACCCAAGGCGCTTTTAAAAACGTTTTAGGGTGTCGGCTATAAAAAGATTTCATAAAATAATGCCAAAGTAGGGACTCTTTGGTCGGTGAGGGGGTCAAATCCTAAGGAGAGGCGCCCCCTTAAATCCACCCCTGCCCATATGCATTTTCATTTACAAATTGATAAATTTTGTATGAAATTTCGGCACAATATGAATTAACTAAATCATGATAATGAATTTTCACTCCGGGCTTAAATGTTAGCTAATAAAAAAAATTCATGTCACTTCATTACCAGCACACTCACGCCTTCGATTCTGGACCAAATATAGTTTACAAAAACGCCTTTTTAGTGATACGACAATAATCATACGATTTGACTAATTAGCAGCAATAGGTGCGTTGAGTCGCAAATACCAATACATCAAAAAATTGAACAGTTTTTCACATCTGAAGCTAAAATGATTTGATTATAAACAGACTGTTTGAAAGTAACTAATTCTTAGTTTAACTAAAACAATTTTTATCATAAGACAATTGTTTTTGAAAAATGTACGATGTAAGCTGATTACTATAAGCTCTTACAAATCAAGCATTGTGTAATTGGACACAAAAATAATGCATACCAAAATATTTGTGTTCATTTTGCTCCCCTGTTTGGCTTTTTGTAGTCTGACTCTTAACTACAGCACCCCTTTTTGCCTTACATCGGGGGGAACTTTTCAACCCAACTGTCCATCATTTTCGTTTAGCAACATCGAAGAGGTATTTATCGGCCGCTCATTTCCAGGTATTTGTGGCTTCGAGGAAGGAGACGAGGAATCGTGCAACTATGATGAGGAAAATTTGGACACCCAAATAGAAAATCTTAAATATGAGATTTACTCTAACTGCCATCACAAACAATCATGCAGTGTGTTTTTGCCAGGTGTTGCTACTGAATTTTGTGAGCAAACAGCCTACGTTCAGATAGCCTACTACTGCTGGACTGAAAACGATATCATTGGAACCCAATTTCAAATCAGCCGTCAGTTTGGCGGTAATGCTTGTTTTCTGCCAAGTGAGAATTCGGTCAGCTGTTCTGAAGGAACAACAGTCAACTTCGAGGAAATTATTGCACAGGTGTACCAATCGGACGACTGTAGCGGTACGCCGATTTGTACTGTTAACTCGACTGCTCCGAGCACGTTAGTTCCGATCATCGAAAACTGTATGGGCAAGCAGAGTTGCTCATTTGTTGAGACTTTTCAGGGCGATTCTCATGAAGTTTTGGGGTGCAATGGAATATCTCTCAGTGAGTTAATTTGCGGAAATTTACATGTTTTTTATCGAAAAAAAGTGTTATTGTGATATACTAACACACTTGCAATACTACCAGCAGCTAGCTTTCGTACATAACTAAATAGCTACAAACATTACTCATTTTATATGGGTGAGACCGTCAAGTTTTCCTAAAAAAGCTCAAAAACAGCCTTTTACCTGTTTTTTTTTCTGTCAAAATTTCGGTCAAAATAGGGTCTTTATAATGCTCAGGACCGCTCGGAAAATCAATTTACTCGATCTTAAAAAAATGGTCGACAAAATTTGCGAAGATTTTTGAAAATCCGCCCCTCCCCCTCGAGAAAATTATAGGTCCACCCTTGGTAGCAAACGGTTCATAATAGGCGAGGAACTAAGATCTCTAAAAGTTCGATTTTTTTTTTGGGGGGGGGGGGGGGAGCGTATTATCCACAAAAAAGTCAAAACTTTGTCGAATTTTTTACGGTTGACCAAAATTAATTTTCCAAGCTCTCCCAAAACACTATGAAAACACACTTTTTTGACAAAAACTTCTACACGGCAAGCAAATTCAGAAAAACGTATCAAAAAGATTTTAAAATGGGCATTTTTGGTAAGATTAGATGTGAAACGGCTTTAGTCCGCAATTTTCAAGGTCAAGCTTAAGCTATTGCGACCAATGTTATTTGACGACCTGTCAATCTTTTAGCGCTGGACTAAATTTGCATGCAAACTTAGAACTCGTCGATTGTTGAAAATTTTTAGTCGAATCAATCCATTCGATTATGATTCCGTATAATTGTGTGACCAAGTTTCAATCTATCTGTACCAAATCATCCCAACTAGTTACTTTTATCAATTTAGTAGCTTAAGCAAGAGCTTCCAGTATAATTTTCAGGGGTATCGCATAGAACCAAAAATTGCGTTTTTCAACGCGTTCAAAAGTAGAATATTTTGGCATCGCACGCGCCATAGGAAACATTTTAGGATGGTCTGTCAGCTAAAAAAAATGATATCGTGCAGCATTGCCAGGAATCTAGAGGCCTCTGGGTGGTCAAGGGGTCAAGACACAACAGAGGTCGCGACCCACCGCCCCCGTAAATCTGCAACTGGTTCATAAATAGATTTTTTACATATGCGGGTTAAGCTATCCACTTCGAAGTTTTTTTTCTAGTGATTTCACTTTTTGTAATTTTTAAGATCAACGATAAAAATGGTCGATAAATCTGTGTTATTTACACAGCAACTGGCCTACCGGCTACCCTTGCTAGATAATTGGAGGTCCATAAACTAATTAAAAAGTACTTTCTCTTCCTTACAAATTGTAATCAGGAGTGAAAAAGTTTTTGAAGATGAAACTCTCGTTTCAGGAAATGCTGGAAGCGTAAGTCGCTCTCGTATCTCCGCCATGTGTGAGGGGGAATTCAACATTGTCGAAGATAGAATATCAACCAATGATATGTGCATTGGGGTGGGCATAATGTTGGAACCCATCTACTTAGAGGGAAGAGTAGAGGGGAGCAAATGTTACCGGGAGTACGTTGACTGTCAAGGAGAAGAAGTTCAGAGTAAATTGATTTTTTAAATTTCAGATACAAAAAGACTGCTCGTATCAGAGCGACCCCGTAATTTTTCCGACTGCCCTTCAAAATCTATGATTTATTATGTAGTGTTCGATTTTTAAAACACCCGGACTGAGCTCTTATTGAAAACAAGCGATAAAAAGAGAAAAAAACAGCGATCGCCATCGATAAATTATCGCTGTTCATTGCCACAGTAGCAAATTTTTTCGATAAATTATCGCTAATTTGGCTTATTTTCAGCAATGAAACAGCAATAAAAAAATCTGACAAAACGAGCAAAAATTGTGCTCTAACAGTTGTTCGACCCCCCAGCCATTAGTATTGTAGACATGCATGCTATTTCTGCGCTATCACTCCTTCGCTGAAATCAAGCTAAAGGGCTCATCAACTAAAACTCTCATTTGAAAGCTACTAGAATGAGTTGAAACTTCTTAAGTTTTAGCGATGATTTTTTACGGAATATCGCAGATTTTGCTATGCATGAAACATCACAGAATTATACATGAATCAGAGCTGGAAAATAGCAATCACTGTGACACTACAGAAAAAGTGATAATTAACAGTGGGACTTCAACCCGGGCAATTCCTTCACACGCTATTTGAATTACAAAGTGATATATTTAGCATACGGTGAAGTATTAACTGGAACAACTTGCATGCCTCTGTTCTGTTGCAACGAACTTTGAGCTGGACTGAATAGTGGCGCACCTGAAGGTGCAAACTGCTCGTATATCAACTAAGTGTTCCGATTTTACTGAAAAGTCAATTTAAAACAATTTTGGTTGAAAAACCGACGAAATGATCAAAGAATTTTTTCTTTCTTGTTCCAACTTTCGTAACAAAAGAGAAAAAAGTCAAATTGTGTTTTGTAAATTGCAAGTGGACTCCGCAACAAGGGCGCTTCTTTTCTCATCTTTCAATCTTTCTTTTTCTTTTTAGCATCTTTTCTTTTCCGAAAAACTTTTCCTGACAAATTTTTACCATGTTTAAAGACTTGTCTCCGGAATCTGGGAACATACAGAAACAAAAATGTGCGCCTATCAGAAACAAAAATGTGCGCCTATCCAGTGCACAAATTGGCCTTGTGATATGGCTTTTTAAATAGCCATTTTTGAGACTATTCAAAAATTTTTGGCGTCCTAAGCTGAAAATTTAAAAGAACATTTTTCATGCAAGTTCTAATAGTTTAAACATTGCCATTTTGTCCATTGGGACAATTATTGCGCGATAGGTTTCGACCTATCAACGCGTAAGCGGAGATGTAATTCGCCTTAGAAATCGTTCCAAATTGGTTGAAGAAAGCTTTTTGCCCGTTTTGATTTGTTACTAGGAATGAAAAATATCATTTCGTAGTTATATGCAGTAAGGGGAGATGATTTTCTCGAAACAACTTGAATTTTATTTTTTTTTTCATTTTATTTTCTATTCTTTATTTTTTTCATGTTATTACTGCTTCATAGACCTTAAAAAGCAATTGCAACACTCAGGGCTTTGCCATGATACGAGCAGTTTTGTTCAGTTAGAGCCTCACGCAATAATGTGATTTAGAAAAGGATGTATTAGCGTCTTGTATCCTAATAATACGACCAATTGACTAGCCTCAACTTTATTTTTTGGAACGCATTAATCCGCCGCTTACGCATGTTATTAGAACAAAAAATGATCAAGGTGAAATATTTTTTTTTGTATTTGAGCTCAGAGCAACAAACAAATTCCGTCGGAAGTTTTAGTTAAAGGTCGAAAAATGACTGAATAAAAACAAGACTCCTCGTATCAGGGAAAAACTTTGAACATTCTGAATGCCCTCATTTGGTCTCAAAATAATTTTTGATAGATTTAAAATTGTGAAACTTAAGAGTTTTAGGCTGTTTATATTACATTTGAAGTTTTAAACAGGCTGATACAAAAATCAGCCTGTTTAAAAGGCAATCAGAAAATACTAAGCATTTTTCGGCCGATAATATCATTAATTTGCCTCAATTCACTTTTAGAACGTAATTTTCCTTGTGTAAAGTATAAGACGAGCAGCTTCGACAGACTATGGTAGGTTACTTTTGAGGCTGCTCCCATGCAGATCAAGGGATTGATCCCCTGATGGAGGAGAGTTTTGTGAAATTGTTCTGAATACAAAAAAAACCCCGAGCATACACATCCCTACTTTCTTCGAAAGTCGAAACAAAAACAATCCCAAGCATAAATATTCCGCACTTTCTTCGAAAATTGCAACAAAAATTGAAACTTATCTGGACAAAACACCCAAGCACAAATAGTCCGAGCACAATAAAAATTGGAACAAAATGAATTTTTAACTATTTTTTGGACCTTCTTTGAACATTTAAAAAAATAATACCAAGAATTTTGAATGCTCCGAGCACAATAAATATTGGAACAAAATGAAGTTTTAACTATTTTTTGGTCCTTCTTTGAACATTAAAAAAATTAATACCAAGAATTTTGAATGTTCTTTGCCAAAAACCTATTACCAGCCAATCAATACCTTCATAAATTACATTTTTATTTTAATAGTGCTAGCTTTAAAATTGTTGTTCAAACTCTCAAAAAAATGACGGAATACTCGTGATCGGTCTGTTTTTTTCTTCACACCAACTTCACTTTTTAGCTAACCAATTTTCCAAAGTGTTCCGATTTTACTGAAAAGTCAATTTAAAACAATTTTGGTTGAAAAACCGACGAAACGATCAAAGAATTTTTTCTTTCTTGTTCCAACTTTCGTAACAAAAGAGAAAAAAGTCAAATTGTGTTTTGTAAATTGCAACTGGACTCCGCAACAAGGGCGCTTCTTTTCTCATCTTTCAATCTTTCTTTTTCTTTTTAGCATCTTCTCTTTTCCGAAAAACTTTTCCTGACAAATTTTTACCATGTTTAAAGACTTTTCTCTGGAATCTGGGGACATACAGAAACAAAAATGTGCGCCTATCCAGTGCACAAATTGGCCTTGTCATATGGCTTTTTAAATAGCCATTTCTGAGACTTTTCAAAAATTTTTGGCGTCCTAAGCTGAAAATTTAAAAGACGATTTTTTCACGCAAGTTCTAATAGTTTAAACGTTGCCATTTTGTCCATTGGGACAATTAATGCGCGATAGGTTTCGACCTATCAACGCGTAAGCGGAGATGTAATTCGTCTTAGAAATCGTTCCAAATTGGTTGAAGAAAGCTTTTTGCACGTTTTGATTTGTTACTAGGAATGAAATATATCATTTCGTAGTTATATGCCGTAAGGGGAGATGATTTTCTCGAAACAACTTGAATTTTGTTTTTTTTTTTCATTTTATTTTCTATTCTTTATTTTTTCATGTTATTACTGCTTCATAGACCTTAAAAAGCAATTGCAACACTCAGGGCTTTGCCATGATACGAGCAGTTTTGTTCAGTTAGAGCCTCACGCAATAATGTGATTTAGAAAAGGATGTATTAGCGTCTTGTATCCTAATAATACGACCAATTGACTAGCCTCAACTTTATTTTTTGGAACGCATTAATCCGCCGCTTACGCATGTTATTAGAACGAAAAATGATCAAGGTGAAATATTTTTTTTTTGTATTTGAGCTCAGAGCAACAAACAAATTCCGTCGAAAGTTTTAGTTATAAGGTCGAAAAATGACTGAATAAAAACAAGACTCCTCGTATCAGGGAAAAACTTTGAACATTCTGAATGCCCTTCATTTGGTCTCAAAATAGTTTTTGATAGATTTAAAACTGTGAAACTTAAGAGTTTTAGGCTGATAATATTACATTTGAAGTTTTAAACAGGCTGATAATATGATCAGCCTGTTTAAAAGGCAATCAGAAAATACTAAGCATTTTTTGGCCGATAATATCATTAATTTGCCTCAATTCACTTTTAGAACGTAATTTTCCTTGTGTAAAGTATAAGACGAGCAGCTTCGACAGACTATGGTAGGTTACTTTTGAGGCTGCTCCCATGCAGATCAAGGGATTGATCCCCTGATGGAGGAGAGTTTTGTGAAATTGTTCTGAATACAAAAAAACCCCGAGCATACACATCCCTACTTTCTTCGAAAGTCGAAATAAAAACAATCCCAAGCATAAATATTCCGCACTTTCTTCGAAAATTGCAACAAAAATTGAAACTTATCTGGAAAAAACACCCAAGCACAAATAGTCCGAGCACAATAAAAATTGGAACAAAATGAATTTTTAACTATTTTTTGGTCCTTCTTTGAACATTTAAAAAAATAATACCAAGAATTTTGAATGCTCCGAGCACAATAAATATTGGAACAAAATGAAGTTTTAACTATTTTTTGGTCCTTCTTTGAACATTAAAAAAAATACCAAGAATTTTGAATGTTCTTTGCCAAAAACCTATTACCAGCCAATCAATACCTTCATAAATTACATTTTTATTTTAACAGTGCTAGCTTTAAAATTGTTGTTCAAACTCTCAAAAAAATGACGGAATACTCGTGATCGGTCTGTTTTTTTCTTCACACCAACTTCACTTTTTAGCTAACCAATTTTGAAGCAAATTTTTGAAAGTTTTCGATTCATATGAAATTAGGTGATGCCTTGAACTGAGGATGAAACATATCGTTTGGATTTCAGTAAACTAGTGGGGATTTAAAAATTGTCAAACTGGAACAATTAACGTGCAATATATTTCGTTATGAACACGTACGCTGCGATTCAATACACTTTAAAAAACTTCCATATTGAAGTTTTTCAAGCAGAATTAAATTATTTTGAATTATTTCAATAATCTCATTTTTCGCTATTTAAAAAATTTTTTCAATTTCTAAAAAACAAAACTAAACTGTTTTATAGAAGTTAAATGGCAATTTTGTTACAAATTAGAGCCTTATAAACAAAAAAAAAACTTCAAAAAAGTGGCACCATCGTTGCATTGCGGTTGGTAGCATCAGTCAGTAAAGCAGTTAATAATTTCGTCATCCAAAGTAAAAATTATGAGTGCTGCCAACTGCATGTAAGCTTAGAAGAGGATTGGCATTATTAAATTATTGGTAATCAGACGCAAAAGAAAACTAAGCAGTTTATATTTTACTTCATATGCTTCCCTTTTTTGAGCTAACAAAAAAGGGGTTTGAATTGTCATAAAGCTCTGAAAAATCTGAATATAATTTCTTATATTCTTACCAGCTTTTTTTGAAATGTTGATATAAACACTTAACATTCATTGGAGCCAGCATGTAGTCATAGTTTTGCTATATAAAGTTCTAAATAAGCAGACGCATTACAAAAGGCACGCACCTTTCCAGGCTGTTTTCTAATTTCTACATATAGGGTGGATCCGAAGAAAAAAATTTGTATGCTTCTTCCATCTAAAAATGCCATCCATCAACAGTAAAAATGCCATCCATCTTTACTGTTGATAAATTTGGCTAGCCCGCTTCGATTAGCACACGCTGGATTAGCACACGCTATGATATATTCACGTAGAAGTGCAACTACAAACATATATTTTTTTGGCTCTTGGCATTTGAGGTTCCACATGACTCTTGAATTTATTGATATCAAAAACAATACAATTCTTGCTCCACGTTTTCTTTTCTCGGGACGCATTATGTTAGCCTGATAAAATCGTGTATAGTTTTGTAGGTCATTTAAGGTTACATGTTTAGCTGATGCCTCCAAGAGTATAAACTTGATCGTCGCTCAAACTTTGTATTGCAATATCAAGATGAGTTTTCATATTACCGTTTCGTGACTTACTAAATTTGATTGTTTTATGTCAAGTAGAAAAATTTAATTTTACAAATTTCCAAAAAAATGAACAACTGATGTTTATAACTACAAGTTGTTTTTTGTTTAGATGGCCTTGAAGTTTGTCCAACCAACCAACTTTTTGACTTCACCACACGATCTTGCCAAGATGAAGACAGTTTCTACTGCACTGCCTTACCACCTGTCAACTTAACCGCAACACCTGTGAGCTCATCTGAGATCCGAATCACGTGGGACATGGATCCTGACTCAACTGCGGATAGATTTACAGTCAAGACAGAAAGCGAAGATGGTTCTCGAGATGACCCTGACAAAATACCTGTCGACTCAAACGCTCGTGATTTAGTTATAGGTTCGCTAAGAGCAAATGTTCGTTATACCATTTCAATACAAGCTCATGAGTCGATTTACGACAGTATCTGGACTGAAACATCAGCGTACACTTACCCTTCAAATCCAGATATAAGTGTAGGCAGTGTGAGTCCCAGTGTTGTAACCTTTCAAGCCCAAATTAATTCGCAAGAAGTTGACGTTATAGTAATCAATCAAACTATTCCAACTCCTGACCCGCCAAGAACAATAGAAATTTCGGCACCTGGATCATCATTTTTTGTTGACAATTTGGAAGCTGGGACAGTGTACACGTTCAATATAGTGTACAAAGGTACCGATTCCGGACTAACATCACTTTCGGAACAAGACATACGAGTGGTCACAAAACCAAATCCAGTCTCAGATTTGCTCGTTGAAAACAACAACCGAACAGACCTTTTGGACCTTTCCTGGGTTTACACTGGAAACGTTGATTCATTTTTGGTTAAACTTCGTGTTCTAAGCAGTAAGGCTTTGATTTTTGAGAATCAAAATGTTAACTGGACTCTAAGAAGCCTGGAACAAGATGGTCTGACACCAGGAGAAACGTATGAATGTCACGTGATCGTGCGTTACCAGGGAAGAATCAGTGTACTTACAGAAAAGGCCGGCCAAACCATTCCTGATAGGGGAAACATTGAATTTCTGAGCCAATCCGATGTTTCGATTGCAGCCAGTTGGTCTTACTCTGGAATCGCGACCAGTTTTGAGCTGGAGTTATTCAACGCTGATAACGAAAAGATTGATGAAGCAGTTGTCAATCATCCAAATACGAATCACAATTTTGTAGGTTTGCAACCAGCGACCGGATACTTTGTTGAAATGCGAGTTGTCAGCGGAGACTTGAGGTCAAACTTACCAAGGGTTAAAACTGTTCTGGGCTTCACAGACCCCAGAATTGTCTCAAATCTTAGGGCAAGACCGATTTCTAATACATCTATTGTTATAACATGGGACCATGAAGCATCGGCCGAAAGATACCAAATTGGTTAGTTTATTTTATTTTAATGACATGTAATAGTATCACAAGTTTAGCTTCAAATGTTTTTAAGCCAGGCGAGATTTTCAACCAAATCTTGACAATGTTGTCATATTTTAGTTTTCAATAAAAAACGTCAAACTTCAAAGCATAAAACTTCAGATTGCACATGAATTCTGATCGCCTTTGATAACTTAATAAAAAATACATCAAAGACTTGTATCAACACCTTTTTGAATTCTTAATGCATGAATTTCAGTGAGACGACAAATTTTTGTTCGAAAGCAAAAAAAAATTCGGTTCTCTGTGAAAAGACCATATTCATAAGTGAGCGAATATTCGCACCAATCAAACATAAATAGAAGAAAATTTCTTTCAGACCAAAAAAATTAAATTGAATCAATGAAAAAATGCGCTTATAAATAACCGAGCTACTCATATGAGGCGGAGGCCCTTATGTTCGGACTGACTTTGAAAAGGTCTCAAATAATTTTTAGCGAAGAAAATCTTGTTTAAAGTGCAATTTTAGAACTTAATTGATTACGCCTTGACAGGGGCGTGCGCAGAAATTTTTCTAGGGGGGGGGGGGGAGGAGAGGACAGAAATATCCTTGGCAGAAGTTTCATTGACTACTGGTAGCTTCCCTAAACTTTTTGTAACAATGTAATCGTTCATCTGAGGCATTTGGTTCCTTTAACGAACTATTTGCTTATTGATCAAATTTGAGTTTAGTTCCATTTTCACGTAACCGTCCAGCTTTCTCATCAACACTGTAGCGAGGATGACACAGTCCTTCAAACACTTGCCAAACTTCAAAACACGCTTTAACAGATCATTTATTGTTCCCTCTAGCTTTAGTAGAACTTGTGACAGTGCCCGCTTCCCTTACCTCGATTTGGAACCTCTCGGATGATGAGTATATGCGCACTTGTCATCCATTTTTACACTCCCTTAAGTAGGATTTGAACAAGTTTTTAAATTCGGATGTTCTGATCAGAATTGAAACCGGGGCTGAATTTGAGGCCCGGCCCCCTTGGGAAACGAAAATTTGAAGCCCGTGTCGGGCCCATTTTTGATGAAAACACAAACTTCCTATCAAACAAGTAAATTGAAATTCAAAGATAAATTTCAAAAAATCAAAACTTGGTAAGTCCCTTCGGTACCTCGTAATGTCCATATCTTTATACATACCTTTCGTCTTTATAGACCTTTTGCAACACACTGCACCAAGCGGCAGACCTCAAGACCACTTTGTATCAACCATCGACCGTTGCTAACATAGTCCGATCGCTATCTCTTAACCTAGATACAGGTTGTGCTTTATATTCTGTTCACTCTTGAAGGGCTTTTCTGATTCCTAAGTTCGATTGATACCGAGTATCTGATTCGACATTTATTCCTAATTATATACATACATATATATTTATATATATAATATATATATATATATATATATATATATATATATATATATATATATATATATATATGTGTGTGTGTGTGTGTGTGTGTGTGTGTGTGTGTGTGTGTGTTATTCACAGTTTAATTTACAATATTCTTTTAGTTTTTTACTTTATGAATTAAAATTTGCGGGTAATGTCATGGCGCGACCAGCAGTTCCTGTGAACAAAGACAGGACTGACCTATTAGGATTTGCCCCTTTTTGGGTGACACCCTCAATCAACCCCCCATTCCTCTGGATCGGACAATTTTTTTGGCAGTGGGCCCGAAAGACAACAGTTAGCCGACTGATATACCAACAGACCCAGCGGAGATCATCGACGAAACTCCTCCGAAGCCAGAGCCACCTTGACCAACAGAAAAATCTCCAGCGGCAAGCGCACGCGTTCTGAAGAACCAAGCAGACGTCTGCCAGACGGAGGATTTCAATCGTAAGCGGTGGTTTTTTTCTCTCCGAAACGAAGGGAGGAGAACATTCGCAGACTCCTATCCCCAACTAACATTAGCGTAATCTCCTTCGAAGAATTTCACGATCATTGTGAGGCTCTCTTCAAAACAGAGGTTTACTATACTGTCGAGCGTCTCGAAGTTGTACAATACAGTATTCACGCAGGACAATGACACTTTCTCCTCGTTCTATGTCAGATTGAACGGACAAGTTGCAGTATGCAACTGGCCGAAAGCCCAAGAGAGGGAAGTTCTCAAGGTCCCTTTCCTAGGCCGAATCCGAGACATCGACGTACAACACCAACTCATAAGACTCAAAGCCAATTTATACGGCACATTCAAGCTCGCTCTAAAATGCGAAAAACGAGCTAACACCTCGGCACAATTTCAAAAACTTCTTCCTCAGCTCTTAAGTTCCGGTGTTGTCAAACTCAAGCACGAGTCAGCATTCTCCATTCAATCCGGAAAAGACAATTCCGGCGGGCATGTAGACCAAAAAAACCTTACTTTCGCCAAAATCAGAACAGCAAGCCATGTTATTTTTGCGGCAAAACCAACTCTCTTGAACAAAAAAAACGTGTTCAGCGACGGAGGCCACCTGTAAATTTTGTAAAAAGCAAGGAAACTTCGCTGAGTGCAGTAATTTGTCAAAAAAAGGGTCAACCTAGTTCAGGACGAAGAGGAAACTTCTAATTCCACGTTAGACTTCGGTTTTACTGGTCTTGAAGTTGATAGCGAACCCTAACAGGTAGTCTTCCATTAACCCTCTAGAAAAACAGGTGAAGGTTAATAGCAACGAGCTTCTAGCGTCTACCTTCGGAAAAATCAGGAGTCTCAGTATACTCAGATCGGGTGCAAGCTTCTTATACTCAACTATTGGCACCGGAAGCACGGTCTCATTTTTGACTAAGCGTACAGTATGTTTCTTGTTATAGAAAACCGTCTGTAAAATTCTGAGACATGACGGGACACCCGGTCGGTACCACATGGGTAGACTACAACAAACGCCAGCAATTTACTAGGTCTCGTTTTGCACAAGAAGCTAGGCGTAGTATAAACACAGATTGGACCACCTGAAAAAAAAACACTTTGGAGGAACATACCCAAGATGCAATATCGGCGAACTTGAAGTCATTTTTTGCACAAAAGTATGCACATGTTTTCAATCGATTGGGTCGATCAAAAAGCATAAAGTCTGTACAAACTTCAAAAAATTACTTGTCTCGAGACTAGGAAAAGGAAGGAAGTCTCCCATACTCATCCAAGACAGTGTAGCCAGGGAGATTAAGAATCTAATCAAAGTTAACCAACTTTGAAAACTCGAAAAGTTCTTTACGTATCATTTTATTGCTCCAATTGTTATCACAGCGTAGGAGGATGGGACTATCAAACTAGCTCTTAACGCGAAGCCTAAGAACGCTCAAATCAGGAAAAACAGGTACCAGATGCCCAACATGCATGAGCTGATATATTCTGTAGCCCGAATCGATACCAAGAACTTTCCGAGAAAAGTTCAGTTCACATCCCTGAACCTTAAATATGCCTGCAGCCAACTTCTACTCTCCTCACTGACTAGTAGTCAGCGCGAATTTAGTTTTTTGTGCAGAGAAGCCACTGGGACATATCGCTTCAAGACGGGATTTTATAGCCTCACCGACATGCCGACCGAATTATGAAAGGCAATGGACTGTACGTAACAGAGTCTGGATGGAGTCATTTGCTATCTTGACAAAATTCTGGTGATCACCAAAGGCGATGTGGCTGAACACAATGAATTGGTGGAAGGAGTAATGAAGAACTTGTATACTGAAGGTTAGGGTCTTAAACAGAGTGAATGTAAAATTTCAGTCAATCACTTCATTTGGTTAGGCTACAAAATAATTGTGAATCGGTATTCTCCGCAATTCTCGAAGATCGAGGCCATCAAATTTCTCAAACCACATACATTGACACAGTTACGTTCAATTATGGTCACCTTGAACCACCTATAACAATTCATCCCGAAATTCGCAAATATACGGTGCACTTCAGGTCTTCTCTGAAAGCCTGCAACAAAAAATCCTTCACATGGGGGAGGAACAAAACGTTGCGTTTGTAAAACTCATAGACCTTATAGCTAATATTTTGAGCGTTTTGCTCGAAGACTCTTCAAAGCAATCTCGGCTCAAGTGTGATGCTAGCCATAGTGGCTTAGGAGCGTACCTCGAGGAGGCAGTAGAACCGAAAGTTTGGGCGCCTGTGTTTTGACTGACCATAAGGCTATAATCTCTGCACTCAATGTACACTACCGAAATAAATCGTACCAATCTCACCGCTGCTGGTGGGTCGATCGATGATTACCTTTTGATTTTGAAGTAATAAATGTACCTGAGTTTACTTTGGGCATTGTTGGTTTTGTATCAAGGTAACCAACATTCAATGCCCCATTACTGTCTCAATACGATAAACTTTTCGTTGAACATGGGCAAATCTCTTGTAACGAAGTCAAAAAAAGTCATCATGGGACTCCCGGGACTATTTGGACGCCGAATTGCTGACAGAACTCACGGATGAGGACAGGTTTCTGGGCCAAATGAAGAGAGTCATAATTAACAAGGATGTCACGTCTATCAATTAACTTTGACCCTATATGGCGCAGTTCTTGACTACGGCAGCGGTTGTGAACAACTGTGTTATCATAGAAAACAAGCGGGCGATCCCGGGCAACTCCAGCCTGCAATCTCAGCCAGACTTCATCGGTCACACCCAGGACAAGAGGCTAGGATGGCCACCTCAGAGTCTTTTATTCGCATACATGGTTTTCCGCAAACAATCAGAACGGATCACGGATCCGGGTTCAAAGAAAACTGTAGAGACAGAGGCATTAAACACATCCTCACTCCGGTGGTAGATTATCGCGGAAATGGACTTGTCGAACGCTCTATACAAACAATTAAACGTCAGCTAGCTAAGGAAAAGCTACATGCTAATTTTTAAAACCTTGAAATCCACTTTACATCAATTAGTAGAAGATATCCGGAAAATGAAGCACATGATGCTCAAAAACTAGTTTTACGAACTACATTTTGGTAGAAAACCAAATACTGAATGGTCTGTAGCTT